TTTGCAGAGTGCGCGCCGTTAATTAAAATGCAAACATCAACCTTTGGAATCAATTTACCGCACACACCCTTTAATCACGCCAGTCATCAGTTATTTATTGAATCTATATTATATTTACATACTTATAAACTACATACATGGGTATATACGTATCATAAGCGGGCATTAGACACGGCAGCTGGGGTGGGTAATGTGCGTGCACGGCTTACTTCACAAGTACTCGTCGCTCCTAAATATTATAGTAATATTAATAGTATAATATGGCCGTATCAATTAATTTTTATTCCTAGGCAAATGAATAATGAAATAGGCGAGTATTTTTTGACAAGATCCTTCGTTTACGATTATTATTATTATTATTCTCACCGATCTAACCGTCAAAAATGGAAAGAGAAATATATCTCGAATTTCATCATCTGCGCCCCCATTCGGGGGCAATCATACGGCGCTCATAGTTTGCAGGGTCAGCGATCGCAACGTCCTCGCTTCTATTTCTGATTAGATTTTAAAAATATATAGGCACCCATATAACTTCACGGAGAGATAAAATATTGTATCATACCAAAATTATGATTTTTTTTCCTTTCTTTTATCGTCTGGGCAGTTAAATATACCTATGTATATTATATGTATATATATACTGAAGGACGCACAATGTACACACTACACGCGAACGATGTATATAATAATATTATTATAGAGGGCGCAATGAAGTGTATTATGCTATAACATTTTATTACATATTTTATTTATCTCGGTGAGGAATAAAACCAGATATCTTGATGCGCGAGGCGCTTTTTAATAGAATTTTTGAAAACGGCTTTTAGGCGCGGGAAGGGCAGTTAAAATTTAATCGCGTAATATTATTTCGATTTTTCTCATATCGCGCTTGTCCAATATTAATAATATTATGATTGGTTGTAAAAATTATTTATAAACCCTTTTGGTTTACTTATCACGATATATTATCTTACGTCGAGTTATTAGTCGCTGCTTACGATTAGAAAATTAATAACGATATTTCTGGTACAGCAGTGTGGTGTAGTTCACGGACTTAATCGTTGCTGCAGAACAGCTGTTTTAAAATATAATTTTTTTTCAATAAATAACGTGTCAACATATGGGTAATAATAAATCTTGAGAAATTAAGATCGGTATTAAATGTAATTCAAAGTGTACGTCATGATATTATATATTACTCAAAGGTGTCCATTAACTATGGTTTTCAAATTTAAGTTAAGTTAAAGTAGTATTTATTTATTTTTTGAATTTTTAACTTAGCTAGCACTATAGTTTGTATTAGGATTCTTATCAACTTCAGAACTTGACTGGTTTCGATGACTGTTAATTTTTTTTCGGTTAATACAAAAATAATATGTCAAATTATTATAAAACTGTTTTAGAAAAACGTTTGGTTTTAATTATTTTATAATATTGCCGAGTACAATACATGATTCTGAACAAAAATAATCTAATTTTCACTAATTGTCCGTTAAAATAATTGATAAAATAATATTTTATGGAAACAAATAACATTCTTTATGTGATCCGCGCTTATTGCCGATAATTATTAATTAATTATAGTTGATTCAATTATTTTTAACTTAAAATTTTTTTCCATATTAACTTCAAACTTGGCGAGATTATTTGTCAACACTCTACTACAACTCATAACTTAACCAACTGGCGTTCACTTATAATGTGACTTAACTTAATTATGTATTTATGTTCGTTAACTTGCCCACCTTGCCACTAACTTGTAAGTGGCAACAAATAGTGATAATATCGCGAGATTAGGTACCTATGCTTATTTGATCGTTATTGGATAAATATTTGACAATTCCATGCGACGCTGGTACAGATTAGGTCAATTCTATGGGTGGGCAAAAAGCGTTAATCGTCACATCGCATAATAATAGGGACCGTTAGGCACTCAGTTCACACCGTCGTCGCGGTAAACCTGAAAGATTTGAGGGAGGTTCACAACTTGTCATCTCGATTAAAATACTTTTTTCTGATGAAAACGTGTTTGTAAAAATTAAATCTTATATATCTACCAACACAATATAAAGTCTACCGCGAAAATTGATTATGATATTCAACTTTTGATTATGTGGTTACATTCTGGTTAGATTGATTAGAATTCGGTGTTTCGCAACCGGTGGTCTGAGCCCCAGGGGGGCTGTCATGACTCATGAGCGTGGTGCACGCGGAGCAAAAGTTGATTTTCTGGGTTAAACTTTTTTTACTCAAAAAATGAACTGAAAAGAGGAGGAAAGTGGGCAACCACTATGCTGCACAACAGCTTTGGGTGTCGTTTAGTGAGTCACCGCAGTAGTGTAACTCATTAAAATAAACTTGAATTCAATGATGAATGAATATGCGTAGAAAAAACGATCTCAAGTTAAGACTCTGTCAGTATATAATATTACTAATAATATTCACTACGATATGGTATACAAATTTATTTTTTTGGTAGCAGTAATACGGTAGATTGAATTCATTTTTGGATGCATTTAATACATTTTTAATAGGTATTTAAGTATTATAAAAGTATAATATTTAAAATTTATTTCAAGTTTTTCGACTGATTGAAAACTTTTTTCAATAAAAATCGAAAATTTAAAATGTCTATAAACAGTTCAAAAAGAAGTGTCAAAATATTTTTGAAATTATACCGTGTGCAGAAAATCCCAGTATACACATTTGATGGAAATACAAGTATAAAGAAAACTAGTGTGAAATCTGTACATTTCACCAGTGACCTCACCCCCAAAGGACATTAACTAGATTAATTTTCCTACTGTAAAAGATGTACCAAGGTTGAAAATCTAAGTATTTTTTCCACAAAAAAAACACACACACACACACACATTATTGTGAAATCAATACATTTATCACTCAGTTCAGGATCTAAAATATGCGGTCTTTCTATATTTTCTAAAATCGAGATGATCCACGATTTCATGAGTTTCCTGAGCAGCCCTCGGCGGTAAACAAGGTTGAATAATACTGGATTAGACACAGTTATAGACTATAGTGATAATATTCTAATACTATATTATAATAGAACTCACGTTAATTATTTTTATTTAGTGGATCGAATTACAATTTCGGAATACACGACACAACACGGACACGGTTATTGTGAACCTCCCTTGCAGGGAACGCCTCGACGACGACGGTCTTAACCGCTCGAATGCGGTTACCGCGGTATAATATTATTATAAAAGCCGGTAATGTATCTACCTCTATTGGTATGCTAGTGTAATAATAATATTATAATAATAATTGCATCGTGGGAACGCGAGACGGGAAATTATTTCTCTGGAACACACACAATATTGTAGCATATAAATATGATATAATAACAATATAGTTATAACAATTTATAACTACAATATGACGTTATAACATGCGCCATATTTGTATACAATACCGTGGTCATAACTGAGGTTCTTTTGATCCGTAGCCATATACTCCTTAGTCCTTATACTTGGGAAATGATTACTCGTTAATCGTTCGAATGATAAGAAACTGTAAATATATATATATAAATATAAGGCTAACCAAATGTGTCAAGTATATGCAATAATCAATAGACGCAGTGGAGTTGTAAAATATGAATTTAACAATATTTGTTTTTGGCTTATCATTAGTATATTAGTTATTACTACTATTATTTTTAGTTTACTGGGTACAGTTGTATAGGCAAGATAGGTCTATCCATTGGTATAGGTATTTTTATTTTACTTAATTATTAAGTGAGCTTGTCGAATGAATAATATGAAACATGTGACTTACTTAAATTAAATTGAATTTTAATCAAATTACAAAATTTTCTGGTTTAATTTCTGGTACCCTTTAAAAGTTTCATATTTTTGTTCTGGACCGGTAATACCCGGGTAATATGAATATGTATATCTATAAACATTTTGTTTACGAAGCAGGCAAATAAAAAAGCCCAATAGCCAACCGCTCGTCATATTATTATCATATTATTTGTTTGAATTCACTCCATTGACTATAATTCGTTCAGGATGTGCCACTACTCGAGTACGTCGTTTATTAAGCTCATAGGACTTTAATTACAGAATTATATTCATAACATACGAAAAAAACCGAGTAAATAAAAGGGTTGATGGCTGCACTTACTATAATATCATAGAATCGTAACAAGTATTTTAATGCTTAAATTAGTTAAATTACCAAATTTGTTTTCTTTAAATGTCCACAATACTGCTGGCATTCGCCATTCTCGTTACGGGCACATTCGTTGCCAGTCTAAATTATATCTTAGCACGACTATAGACTCTAGACATCTGAAATGGGGGGGGGGGGGAGAGAGTCTACATTTTTTTCAGAATAAATATAATCGTAATTTTAGTACAAAATAATAGGTGATTATCGACAAGTAACATAAGTAATAATATTACAGATAATATTTTATTTATGTTTCGAATTTAGGAAATGTAATACGTATGTACCGGTGAAGTATACCTAATTATTATATATAGATAAATACTCGATAATAGGTATTTAACATTTCCAAATTGGGCTAAAGCCCCTTAGTCCCTCTGGATCTGTACAATAGTTTGTGCGCTTGTATTAAAAATAATAACGTTATAGTACATTCTCCACGATTAGGACAGCGTGAAAATTATGAGAATTTGTAAACATTGCCCAAGTCATGACATTATATTATTATACGTACCTATATAATACGGAGTATACGGCTATCTAGTATACAGTTATGGTCACAATAATTGCGTACGACATGTCGGGGCCCGACCACGGCGATGGCCGTAACGATAACGGTAACGGAAATATTGTGGGTACATAATATATTGTAGCGATGAGACTCGTCGCATCTCCCGTCGGAAGAACGACGATAACAATATATATCGGCGATCATGAGCGCGATATACCTATACCGCGCATAAGGCGATAACCGCGATATAATAATTTTGTACGACGAGTAAGTGTAACATTGTACTCACTTCCCTCGCCATCACTCCATAGTATCTCGGGCCACGCGGTTAGATCAGGCCCCGGCCACTCCGCTGCTTGACGACGTTTGTCCGAGGTCGCGGTCAACGGCGGTACGCATCACACCGATGGCCGCGCCGGTCGTCGCCGTGTTGACGGTGGTCACGGTGGCGGTCGCAGTGGTGCAGGTGGCGGTGGTGGTGATGGTGGTGGCGGTCGTCGTCGTCACGATGGTGGTGTTGTTTTCACCGCCGTCGCCGTCTCTCCGCGGCACCACCGCCGCTTATGCGAGCGTGTATAGGGCGTCACGAGTGCACCACCTGCAAACGAGGAGCGTCCCAAATTAATATTATCGTAATAATATAATATTCTTTGTTTCGGTCTCCAAGGAGCGACACGAAGGACATTATTATTTGAGGCATGTGCCTCGGTTTAAAAGGGTTTGGGTATCCCGGAGACCGTGGGCACATAATATGAGACTTGAGGCTTGCGTTAACGCTAAGCGATTCTTTCTCACTTACCATACGTAAATGAGTTATCACTATAATAATGATATAATCACTGTAAGCATTTATAACTACTAATTTAAATAATTATTGATGTGCCTCATAATTTAATGAAGTTCGCGGCGTCCACTGACAGCCGTGAAACGACGATAAGACAGAAACGTTACGGAATTTAACAATATCATAGACATTGGAAATAATATTATGTTACGAAAAAATCAAACCGCTGACGGTTTATATTTGGTACATTTCAGTTTGGTACCGGAATACCACCTACATGCCTTCCTACTTACCTACCTACCTACCTAACTACCTATCTATCGCCGTCAGTGATTGCTTGCGGGCTCGTACGATTGCTGTTTGAACGGCATATGCCGTCGTTGTTGACACGAAAAAAAATATTCTAAATTCCGATTTTCGAGAGGGGAAAAACAGATTGCCAATGATCCATACAGAAACAAATTAGAAAACTTTAAAACTACCTGTGTGAAATCTTGATTAGAATAAAAAAATTCAATTAATGCTGAAATATCAAATGTTATTAAACTATAAGTGTCATGACACGTTGTAGGTTTTAATACGGTTTGTTACTTAACTTACATAGGTTTTTTCTCTTAATATAGTTGGTGTCGCCATATTATTTTACATATTTTTAATCACGTAGAAGCTGGTAACTCATACACGATTTAAAATAGGTAACACAATGCGGAAGGTTTTGTTTATTATTTTTCATTAATACAGTGATGAAGATTTAGGCTCAATAGGACATCACATTTTAGCTTTTTTTTCTGAAAGTTACACAAAAACTTCATAATCTTAATTTGGCACATCGGACGTTTTCATTCATGTCGACGTTGATACGTGATACGTCGTATACATTACCCCAATTATAATATATTATCATTAAAAATTATTTAGTTATATTTTACAATTTAATAATTTAAAATTTTTTTTTTTGTTATTTAATTGAATAGAATAAAATATGTACCTCACTGGTTATACTAATTGTTTTAGACTTTGGTTAAATACCTACACAATAGGATTTGTTTTAAATCGATATTGCATATTAAATATTATTATTAAATTAAAAAAAGAATAGAACTAAGTGATAGCACTTTCTACCGTGGAAAAAACATTAAAAATGCACATGTTATTTCCAAAGTACCAGGTACCAGTACCTACCTAAAGCAGATAATTATTTTATGACGAATAAATATGAAGATTTGACATGCCTGCAGTATCAACTTTGAGTATTTGTAAGTTCTTGGAAACTTTTTGTATCGAAATAGTTGCCAGTGACACAGTTTTTTTAAGGGGGATAATATTGGCGTCATTAAAACTTTACCTAGATCTCACCAAACTCAGATTTAGCCGTTTCTACCAATTAATTTTTTTACAGTTTTAATGTTTGCTAGTAAAATATGTACGTCAAATATACAGACAAACATTACATTGCTATTACTGCAGGTGTTTAACATATATTTTTTTGTTCGATTTTAGCCTAAACACTCTTCTCCTGCTAAAGAATGTCCAACCTAATTTCGTAAAAATTCACCGCCTGACTTCCTGTACAGTAATATTATACACTTGTCTGCAAATAATAATCGTAAGTACCATGTAATATATTATAATAATATGTTTTTTTTTTGTTTCAAATCATATATTCTATCGCATCATTATTACCCACCCGAAGTACCGATGTAACCATCCTGAGTAGGTAGGTACATATTATACATATTATCTATGTTAATTTCTTGTTATAGGATGATGCGGATTGCCGACGCCCGACGAGGCCGACGAAGCCCTCTTGGCCGTACTTATAATAATAAACTTAATTCTAAATAATATTATGTTAATTTAATAATATTTATCACACTTCCATATCTACTTTTGATATATATATAAATCTACAACAGAACTATGATCATTACAAAACTGAACAATATAGCAGCACATTGGGGTTTATATATTGTACTACATTCGAAAGAGATAATATAATATGTTATCGTATATCGTATGTTATTAATAAATTATAGAATGAATACTACTTACTATCGAGCCTGAAACCAGTATTTTCGAAAAAAAAATATATGACAGTTAGTGCTGAATCTAAAATTACGGAAGGTTGGAGTACGAAAACGTATACAACGAACACTTTTAAAAAATTACTGTCTATTTATAAGTCATTTGATTAAATCATTTTTTTAAGTTGGTCAAAGTCGAGACGGATTTAAAAAAGAAAATAAATTTAAATTAGGTAGGTGCCCTCGTGGCTCATTCCGTGTTCATTGAAATCGAGTCACGCGAAACTGAGTTCATAAAAATTTATAAAAGTAATATAAACGAGTGCGGATGATTACTCAAAAACATTTTATTTCCCAACTATCATTCGATGTTCCCAATATTAAATAGTAAATTTACCATTATAATTCAACAAAGTCAAAAAATCTAGGACATCTAACCGCGGAAGCTGCTAACACCGACTCGGCCACGGAGCCTAACCTCCATATGCACCCGCCAACAACCCTCCTCCCGAAATCCGGCGGCACCGAATTCACGAGAAGCGTTCGCATAGTTAGCGAGCGAGTGCATTGCGGATGGTCAAGCTCCAGCCGTGAAGGTCACGAGGCCGGTACACGGTACGATATAATAATATACGAAGTGCAGTGGTATACGTAGGTATAGCTGGTAATGTAAGTACAATAGGTACGTAATAGATTGTCATGAGATATGATGACGATAAAATATAAAAAAATATTATCGAAACGGTAATAATAATAATAATAATAATAATAATAATAATAACAATAATAATAAAATATCGTGAAAACCCCATGACGGGCTTACGTGTGTGTTTTGCGAGTCAGTCACGGCGGCGACATGTGTACGACGGAGCACCAGCGGCAGTAGCGGCGGCCCAGTAGCACCAGCAGCGGCGGCAGCTCCCGAGCAGCATCCGTACAGCAGCCGATCTGTTGGCCGGCCGACGGGATAGCGTGTACTGCGGGGCCGCGGGCCGTGGCCGCCGCGTGTCGAGCGCTCGTCACGGCCGG